CCCTCGGGGCGCGGCCGGACGGGCGCTCAGCTCGCTTGGGTGCGCCGCGCCCACATCAAAGGCGGCTCTGCCTGCTTGCCTGCCTGTCGCGGCCTCTTCACCGCCTCCTCCTCCTTCTCCTGGCGGCTCCGGGTTGGAGGGAGGTGCTCAGACTCTCGGCGACGGGACCGGCAGCTCCGAAGGGGCAGAGCCCGCGAGGCTGGAGCTGGTGAGCTCTGGAAGCCGTCGGAACTCTGTTCCTGGGCGCAGTGACCCGCGCCACGGCGCAAACGCTGCCGGAATTGGGCAGGCACCGGTCCCCAAGAATGCAGTTAGGTGCGGAACGTCCTTACTCGCCTACATTCGCCACTCGCCTACTTGCACTCACTGACACCCACCAGCGCTCGAGTGGGGAGCAGGGAGGGGGCGGGTCAGGCCCAGCCCTCGGGGCGGCTCCACTGAAAGAGGGGGCGCTTTTAACCCGCCGCGTGAATCCACGCGGGACCGTGGCGTGTTCCAGACGCCCTCTCCGACGTTTGGCCACTCTAAGTGAGCCCCTTTCCAATCTTCGTCGCTGCCATTGAGGGGGAGGGGTCTCCAGGGCGTCTCTCATTCACCACCGCCTCCCACCCCCGTCGATTCTGGAGATCCCAGCTCGGCTCTCCGGTAGGCGAGCCGGCTTTAGAAACGCACGGCTGCCACCTAGTGGCCCCGAGGCTTCGCTGAAGCCCAGACTGGTCGGACTATACAGGCCAGGGAGGAGCCAGCAGGACTCTGGTCAGCGACCACTCTAGGCCCTCTTCCGGCCTCCTGGCTGAGATTTGCTACTCTTTGCATGCTAGGCAGTTTGACGCTTTTAACTAGCTCCCTTCTGAGGACATCTCTTCTAACAGCCTCTGCCTCTTCAGAGGTATCACTCCTGTCCTTCCCACCAATCTCAAAATGTAGGTGTTCTTGTCACACGCACAACAGCCTCACTCTGTCTAGAGCCCCAGCCAGCCAGGCTCTGCTTTGGACTGATGTTAAGGGGAAAGTCATAGTGGGGAAAAAACTGGAGAAGCTCAAAAAGCAAAAGTCAGGAATCCAGACTATTTGGTTAAAAACTTCCTGTGTCACTGGCTACGGCTGATACTCCCATTTCACTTCTAGAGAAAGTGAGGTAGGTGCTGTCACAGTGCTGCTTCCTAGAGTCATGAAAAATGAAATATCAGCAACTGTTCTGATTATCAAACCTCTCTAACACGCTATTTTAAGTTCCCTTTTGAAGGTGAGGATCTCTTAAACAGATAGCCTCTGTTTCAGCATTGGACACAAGTGCAGGAAATTTTTTCAAAACTAGGTACTGAATTATGGGGAAAGTTCTTGTGTGAATCACCAGGCTGAATTTACTTAGGCATTCTCATTACCAGAACTGGTAATCCCAAGATAGGATGCAATGACCAACCACAAGACAGAGTTGGACAGAAATGCTCCCCTTGCGGCCTGAGTCATCGCCACCATCCTTAATCTTACTGTGTAAAGACCTGATAGATCGGTCAAGAGGTGGTTTTGGCTTATTTGCTAACGTGGGGTGTTTGAGGCATCTCCTGGCTAAGGATCATACTTCCAGTATTCTATACTATTCCTGGTTTCTATTAGTTTTGAATGGACTGGGTATATAATTATTTATGTTCTAAAATGCTTGCAGTTGTTTTCAAGGCTCAGATAGTGTTTGTTTATTTCACAATAAAACTATCACCCAAAATAAGATTGACCCAAAAATCCAGTCAAGAGAATTTCTGAGTATGAGCATAAACTCAAGTCGGAGGTCCTGGATCTGAATATTGCCTCCAACATTGACTTCCATAAGTTCCAGCAAGCAGCAGTGAGAATCTGCTTCTTCATCTGCAAACCATGGCTAAGAACAGCAGCAACTAAGAGTTGTTGTGAGTTACCAAATGAAATCATTCAGCCTGGCACACAATGAGGCTCCCAAGGTTTTAGCTATTATTAATAATCCTTGTTACGCTTTCAGGTTAGTATCACACCACTTTTTTCTTCACCATTTCATGAAGTAGGGAGACAGGATCATTCTCAATTTACTGCTGAAGAGAATCTGTCTTTTGACTCCGAATCCTATTTTACCACATAATTTTTTCTTTATTTTTAAAAAGTTTTATTCTGCAGCTTTAGAAATTTGAGATTTTTTATAACAACTGCAAAAGAAATTCAATCACACCTAATGACTGAGAAACAAAATATAGTGATGTGTTACCTAGACAGAAACCGTGCTGAGGTGCTGTAGTAAACTATTAGTGAAAAAAAAAAGTACACTTAAAGGCACAGCATATCACAAATTACAGAAGGGATACTCTGTAAGAACTTACTGTAACTAGAGAATTCTGAGTAACTATCTTTTAAATGCAGCACTTAAAAATGTAATAACTCTGCACTCTTTTCTTTAAAAAAAAACAATCTTAGGTGTGTCATAGAAACGCTGCTTTATTGCTGCAGAGGTCAAAGTTCAAGGCTCAAGACGTACAGGAGAGATTACAAAGGTAGCCTTAAGAAAGTTGGTTTGGTTTATTATAAAAAAAGTACAGTTCATAACAGTTAATTTACAAACAAAGAACAAAGTGGTATGCATACATTCTGTACAAGTACAAGCATACTTAAAACATCAGAATTTTCAAATGCATGGCCAAGGAGAAAAGAAAACAACCATTGCCCCTTGCAAAAAAAAAAAATCACACCATTATTTTCTTCTGGGTGATTATACATTTCTGAAACCACTGAGTCCACAAGTTACTCCATCTTTTTCATGATCCAGGTGCACACAAAAGCCTTAAGAACTTACCACAACTTCCTTTTCCCCATCATTCATTCCTTCAAACCTATCAATTTACCATACAGATGAATCTTAAATGAGACTTTTCTATTTGAATGACGTTCATAGAGCACTTAATAAGAGTCACTAATTTGGTAGTCACTTCTCATCAGTTCATTCAATCACTATTTATTGTGTCAGGCCCTAGGTGAAGACAAAGTCCCTGTGTTAAAAAAAGCACCTTACTTCTACTAAACAAGATGGACGATGAGCAAATACGCCGAGAGAAATTCAAGCTTATCGGTGCTTTGAAGGAAACCAATGGGATAGAGAAAACCTATTAGTAAAACTTAGGCTAAGACCCAAAGGCAGGAGAGCCAGCCAGGCAAAAGAAATATTCCAGGCAAAAGATGTCACTTCCCTGCAGGTGAAGGCTAGGCGACAGGCAAGAGGGTGAAAACAGGCAATAGGTACCTGTCAGAAGCTAATAGGTGGCAGCTCTCAAAGGCACCTTCAAGGTGTTTTTAAATTCATCTCCTCTCAAGTGTGCTTGGAGTTTGACAAATGTTTATACTTACGTAAACACCTCTTAAGCATCCTCCCCCCATCACTAGTCTCAAGTCGCTTTTAATCTGCTGGCACCAGATTCACATCAACATAACCATGTAGTATGTGCTCTTTTGTCTAGCTTCTTTTGCTCAGCATGTTTGAGATTCATCCTCACCCCTTGTTGCTTTTTATCAGTATTACTCCTTTTTATTGCCGAAGAGTACTCAACAGTGTGGATATATCCATTTATTTGACAACTTATCAAAGACTTTTGACACTAAGGGTCAAAATCCAGTTTTTTAAAAAAGCGTACTGCAGGTGATAAGAACACATTGGAAGGGTGCAGCAGTGGCAGTTGGGAGGCCAACAAAAAAAAAGCTGTGTCCAGGCAGAAAGTACAGTAGTTGGGGCCAGCCAACTGTGTTAAGTTTGGTATTGGAGTTAAGACACACCTACGTTCAATTCCCAGCTCTCGGCTAGCAAATTCAGTTTTCTAAGCAGATTCTCATCTGTAAAATCCCTGGCTGTCTTAAGGGGAGTTGAGAATGTACGTTGACTGCTTGTCCAATGGAATGCCAGTCCTGGGGCGCAATTAACCGTTTTGCTTGCTGATTAATCCTTAACTTTGGGACACAGTATGAATTTAAATGTTTATTCTTCCCATCTCATTTTAAGTGAAAGTAACTAACAGCACCACAATCTAACACTTGTTTTCCACCTCTTTCTAATCTTAAGTATCACAAAATTCAGGGAGCCTGTAGGATACAAATATTTTGGAGACAGAAGGATGAACTTCCAGCCTGAGAACATAGGACAAAAACAGCCTGAAGCCTTCAGTAGGATCAAGTAGTTTAATAAGACCCTTAGCACAAATGTGGCTCTAAAATTTCCTCAAAACCAGCTCTTGGAACTTTCACAGCATTAAAATAGGATGTCTACTGCCAAGTTCATGAGAAGAGGAGCAACTGGTAAGATATGGCTGGAAGGTAGCCTTAAGACTTTCTGAAACAACTTAATCCTGTACCTACACAGGCCAGATCACTAACCTTTAATAGGGTCAGTACTTTTTGTGACCCTCAATCTTTTTTCTTGGATAATTTCAAACAAAACCACCCCCTAGACCATGTAAACATAATCTCCGCTCATCACCAAGCTAGTAGCTCTGCAAGCTTTATACACCACTATAAACCTCATTCTATCATCTGTAGGACCCACTAATTTAGACAGCCTGATCTGCTCTCCCCAAATGGCCTTTTTTCATTAACTGATTTTGTCCTCTGGTTTCCTCACTCATAACCTAGCCATATGTGATTAAGATATCGAATGAAGAGAAGCTTCCTCCAGACAGCTGACAAGTGCTTCCCTGCCCTCCTAGTGCTTAGTTTTCCCCTTGCTTTTCCAAAGGGTCTGATCTGATCATCTGCATCTAAGTCAGCTACACAATACTGAGTTCACTACTGGCCATTTCTCCCCACCCAGGCTATGGTCTCTAAACGCCATTCTTCTTAAAAAAGGAACCAAAGCGCCTAAGGGAAACAGACAATTCTAGAACTGAGAACGAAATGAAGATAAGCCTGGAACATTCTGTCACAGTAGAAAGCAAGAAGTTTAAGTCAAAGACTACTTACTGGAGTCAGTGGTGGTAGGAGCAAGCTTGAAGGGGATTCCACTGGCCAAAAAGAAGATTGACAACACAGTGGATTGAAATCCAAGTCTATAAAAATCTGAGTTCAGGATACTTAAAACTAGTTACTTTCAGGGGTTGCTAAGACATCAAACCATCATTCAGAAAATCGGTAAATGAAAATAAAGCATTACAGGTACTATTCAAAGTTAGGTACAAACTAAAGGCAATAAAGTGGGGATTTTAAAGAAAATGACTACAGAGTAACAAATGGTATTGTTGAGGGACTAAGCCATTAAGAAAACTCATATTCAGCAGACTAGCTTAAGGGAAGTTACTCCATCAGCCAGCAACTAAGCCCCAGACGCACCTTAACCAAGTATTATTCCTGGTAAATGTACTAAAAACTCCAGAAATAGAATAAACCAGCTTTTCTTACAGCTTCCTCCACTATAAATCAAGATTAATAGCAGGAACAATGAAAAAGCAATCTTTTTTATTGGTCTTAGAAAACTTGGAAAATGCTTTGACTAAAAAATTCCAATGTTTCCCATAGTAGGTTACCCAAGTATATTTGTTTTTAGCGATTAAGCCAATATTGATCCAACTATAGCCAATCTCACTAAGCAGTTTGTACCATACAAAGGGAAGTCACTGTCTTTGAAGCAGGGATTTCCTATGTCAGAAGTCCAGGAGCAGTAGTTCACTTTTCAGATTACTGTATTTAGTTGGCTGATGTGATGTCTAGTAACTAGCACTACTAGTGACTTCTGAGGCATAGGGAAATCTTTAATTCTTACCCTTCAAAAAACAAAAAACAAAACAAAAACAAAAAAACACACAAGCCCTACCTGGACCTTATTCACTCTTTTTAATGAGCTAAGAACAGGACTAGTAAGGCCAATTGCTTTCCCTCAGAATGGTGACAAGTCCTTTTGGGTTTCCTGCTACATAAAAGTATCATCAGCTAAACCAAAGGTTTAACTTGCAGCAACTCAAATACTAAAAATTTCAGACTTACATTTTAAGATATTATACAGCATACAGTGTATTTCTAGTTTTGAACACATTAAGCAACTGATACTAATAATTACCACACTCCTACATCACATACTATAATGTAAAACACTATCTAGGGAAGATGGCTCAACTTTAACGTCGTTTTCTGTAGCTGAACACCAGAAACTTTTCAAATTAATGTGTAGGATGGTTAAGTCATTTGGGATTGTCCTATCAATTTAAAGTAATCATCTTTTAAATCTGCAGTACATAAACATCCTCTAAAATGGATGCACTCTGCAGTGAAACAGAACAAATCTGAGCCTCCATTAAATATATAAAAAGAAAGAAGCTACAAGGGCAGAGATGGGCTGAAGAGAAGAAACTCAATTATCAATGAAGAAAACCACAACCTGAAGTAAATGACTAGAAGAGGCACCTGAAAACAGGCTAGACGAGACAATACTGTCCCAACATTTTCCCCCACCCTCCAAAATAAGTTTACTTTGGAAAACCATCTCAGAGATGAAAAGGCTAGTATCTGCAGACCTCCATTAAAATACTTGGAACTAGGGCCTGGTCAACAAATACCACCCCCCTAATCAATATATAGACAGGCTGGGGGCAGGGTAACAAGTAAACAATGCATGGTATGAGAAGTTTAAGACTTTAGATACCACATCCCCCAGGGAACCGAACCAGAGCATTTGGAAGTTAAAAAAATAAAACCAGCACAAACTTGTGAAGTCCCTTTCCTAAGTTTAAACAAAAAGGAACAAGGAAAAACATCCAAGAGAATCAAACAGACGGCCTAAGAATGGATGTTAAGTTAAGTAGGAGGCTAAAATTTCCCAAGACAATGTCCCAGACCAAGAAGAGTCTCTGGAGAATAGATCCACAGTCCACCAAGGGCCCAGAACAAGACTATAAGACATTATGAAACCCCAGACCACCAGCAGTAAAACAATCTTACTTAGCTCTCAGAAAAACTGGTCATATACAAAAGCATACACAAACATGGAATGGACTAGGCCAAGACTCACATTTAAAATTCTGAGGAAAACATTCAGCCAACAAGGCAGTATACAGTTTGATGTCAAAAAGTCAAGTTCTTTTCAGATATGCAAAAACTCAGAAAAGACCCCCCATGTATTAGGAAACTATTGGAGGATACACTACAGCAAAACAAGAGGAACAGAAATCCACCCCTGACCATCATGCAACCGAATCTTGGTAAAACAGATAATGGGGGTCCCAATGATTCATCGAATAACCATTGCATGCAATTAACTTCCCCCACAGATCTCAAATGTTAAGTACTATTTTGGGTAAACTGAGAAAATAGAAATCATTTTCTGTTCTGGTTCAGATGAAGAACCCTAGTTGAGAAAGGCTACTGCAGGCTGTTTAAAACACCAGATTTTCTTTGGGAATGAAAAGGCCAGGACAGGTTGATAGGAAGGTCTGATGAACATCTGGTAATAATTAACTGTTACCAAGAGGTGGGAAGGTAAAAGCACTAAATCCTCTGAAAAATAGGTTGGTTAACTCTTGAGAAGCAGAACTATTTACTATTTTAGAGATTTGAGGATACTATTTAGACTTTTAACTATGTACATGTATTTCTTTGACAAAGTATTGAGAGTAAATAATAAGAGAAACAGTGCTACTTTATTAAAATACTGAGTTTATTTCACATGTATATTTTTGTCTCCCCACCATTTCCATTTGTCTGACCACCACTACTACTATGTCCTATCATAACATTCCATACATACTTAAAACCAAGCAAAGGGTGGAGTTCCATCTTTTAAAAACTAAACAGGCATTTTGGACAACACATTCTTGGCAATGAAACCTGGACAACATTTATCAGACACGGTAGGGAAAGTTCTCACTCTGCGTTATAAAAAGGACAGCCAGATATCAACTGTTACAGAAATGAAATAAGACGGAAAAATTTAACAAACTGTTTAAACTATTTTCTTAAAGAGACTTCCTCCACTGCCAGAGATCTTGAATAGCCTGAAAAGAAAAAAAAGAAATGTGGTTTAAAAACCACAACACTTCACAGACACCAATAAATTAAACACGTCTCTTTGTACAGTTCAGTTCAATGCATCTATTTTTCATCTAACACCAAAAAGGTTCACTTTAGATAATTAACTGATTAAGAAAAAAGTATACTTAAACATAATTTAAAGTACTTCAATTCAGACATAAAATCATGTGATTCTTCTAAGCAAGAGTTTTTACTAATTTTATACTAATACGTATTTAACAGCTTAGGTGTATTTAGTTAAGGAATTCAAAACCACTTTGGCCAACGTTGCCTCAATGCCATCAGCTTTAGGGTAGGGCTGCCAGGATTTAGAGGAAAACATGCACCTGGACAAGGACCACATAAATATATATATATACCTGAAATAAACCACAAATACACCAAAGATATACATCTCTTTACCTCTCAAATTATATTTCCCTGATGACATGGGATCAACGGTTCCTTGCTTTGCATGATTTGCTTATAAAAATCCCTTATAGTCTATGTTTTGTTTACACTGTTTAACAGTTTCTATAGTGGTCACATCCAAGTTATTTCATTTTAGCCACTGAGCATTCATTAATGAGAATACATGGTAGCACTACCATCACATATATAGAACATGTTCTGCCAAATTACTCAAACAAGCTCTTCTGGTTTGTTAAAACACATTAACACCGTCTTCCATAACTAATTTACTTTTCCATTTTTGAAATCTAATGATTTAAAATACTAGTAACAAAAAAAGGAGCACCCTTGTCAATTCCTATGTCCTTCAACTGGTAATTCATTCTGCTTGTTCTGATGCTTGTATTTAGTAACATCCATGTAAAAGAACCAAATTCTTCAAGTGATAAAAAACCATTTCAAAAGACAATCATTTAAGTACAGTATTATCTATCTCAAGCTGGTGTTTCTTTTCCTATTCATAAATAATGCCTCTTTAAGAGAAAAAGTTGATTTTTTTTGGTCAACTCTAAAGGATTCAACAAGTTCCTTCAAAGCAATGGAGAACTTCAGTGACTGCTCTTCTATTAATTTACATGATCCTACTGCTGAAAAGACATTTAAAACTATGAACAAGAAGTAAGTAGGTTCTACTCAATGAATTACTTAAAATGTCACCAAGAATTTCAGGGGCCTTTAAAAAAATATGATTTCAGTGCTTCAAATAAAGGTGAATTCTCACAAATACTGTTGTTAAACACAGCCATCGGATTTGAAGTGCAAGGGAACTGAATGAATATCATGTCAGTAAATATCATTCTCTAATCTTTCAGTTAAATACAAATGCTAAAGAACAATTTCATGACACTCCAATGTCAAAAAAATACCAGATGCTGTTTGACCTACGTAATATATAAAATACTGAATGGAGTGGCGAACACCTTCCTAGGTCTCATCTCGAAGAGATTTTACTGGCCATATCCTCATAAGCAACTTTTTTCAGAAGAAAAATTGTATAAGCAAAAAGAAGATATTTTATACATTGTGATCATATACATTTGCAGTTATGCTATATAAAAATGTGATGCGTTTAGTGTCTCCATAACAGTAAACTGAGCTATCATATTCTTTATTATTGAAGAAATTTCATCCTGGCACCTGAAAATATGCTTTCAGTTTTGGAGTCAGAAAACACTTCTGACAGCGGGAGTTCCATCATTTTAGCTGTATGGCTGATGTTACACTGTCTGGAAGGCCTTGCAACTTTGCTTATTACTTTATCTTCACTTGCAATTTTCTTAGTCAAAAATTTTACCACTTTCTTTGGTATTAGTTGTAGAAATAATACACCTCTTACGCTTCCCTGTTAATAGATGTTGGGTTATATCTGACTTTCCACCATTTTCAATACTGAATTAACAACTGCATACTGCGTAGTTTCAAAAGGACTTTTAATTTACTTAATGCCCACTACTCAGAAAATTCATCCAATTTACACTGGCAATTTGGGATTCAAATATACACACACACAAAAAGAATATCAACTAAAAGAACAAAAGACTCAATCTGGTCATCTCACAGCTATATGAAGGCTAACTCACAAGTAACTGTATAGAGTATTAAATCGCTGAGAAAAATAGTGTTGCCATTTAAATGATTTAAGTACTAAACAGCTCTAAGTAATATATTTCTTTACTGAAAAAAGCTGAATACAGAAGATTCAGGGAGTCCTGAAAACAACCATTATACAAAGGGCATGTCCTGTATGTACATGATGCAAAGCAACCCTGTTAACTGCTTTTACATTTTCCTTTACAGCCTGTGAGTCAACTGTAAATAAGAGTAAAAATAAATGACTCTTCTTTGACAAAACCTCCCCATTAATAAGGTTATTTCTTCACAAAATCTAATAGGTGACTTTATACACCGAGTATGATAATTTGGCTTCTTGCTTCCAAATTTTACACGTAGGTTGATTTCAGCAAAATGCGCTTCCCATAAGATCTATGGAGAAAATCATCCCTGCCAACTCACAAGAAAGCAAAGACCAGACTGCTCAAGAAGCCAAATGGAGCAGCACAGAAAACCACAGCTCATTTCCATGGCCAATATAGTACCAAAAGCAAAACTGAATTCAGTAACCAAGAGATAATTTACCAGCTATACAAAAGCTGGGAAAAATGTACTAAAATTAATCTTCTCAGTCTATCCCAACTAAATTCTTAAGAGTTTCCATGTATTTAATCTCAAATATTACCTGTGGTTAGCAACCTTTTAAAAGAAGCCAATGCCTAAAAAGACTAAACAAATAACTATAATAAATCACAATAAAAATTCTGGATTTGGCCATGTCCCCAGAAAATTTAGTTACCTCTTGGTCAGTCATCCGGAAACAATTCTTCACATAATTGATGAACTTGGCTTCCACTTTGGGAAGAGAACCACCCTATTGAAACAAAAGCATTATTAAGGTTAAGTATAGAAACACTATTTTGGGGAGGTAACTTTATGAAATTCCTCAAAGATTTGCATGCTGTTTATTATACGGATCACTGTGATTCGTTCCTTGCCCCTTCAATTCTTAAAAAATACTGAGTAAATCCCTTTTTAGGCCTAGAAAGACCTGTTGTGCAACATATTAGGAAAAACGTAGTAACGGTATTCCACAGTATTCTCACACTGATAAGGTCTGTCAAAGTTTCAAATCCCCCCCAGTCAATCTGGAAAAAAAAAATTGTAAGCTATGCTTGAGATTCTTTAGGCATTCATGTCAACTTGACTGCCTACTGTATTATGTAACAAGTCAGCTTTATCATCACCCTCTACCACTCAGGACTAAATACAAAACATACAGCCCCTCTAAGTATCATGTAATATAAAAGCAACCAAAATTGCTAGAAAAAGAAAATCACTCAATATGTACCAAGACCATAGGTCCAGCACAGTGCTAATCTAAGTGTCAATTCAGGGGGTATATGAAGAAAATGGGGGGGGGGAATTGTATTACATTTCATTAAACTCTAAAATTTGGCATTCCTTTCAATTACGGGCACAGGGAAGAAACCACAATTGCATTAGCATCAAATTATTTTCAAAGTATTTTGTCACCAAATATTTTCAAAGCTCTCAAAATGTTTATCACTGCTTTGGAATGTCAAGGTACTTTATTTTCCTTGTAACCTGAATCCGAATCTTCTATGTATTTTAAAAAGATCAAGAACACTTTAGGTATGGTATACTTAACTGCCTCTATCACCTAGAAAATAAACCTCACTATAGTTTACACTTTTAAATTACCGTCACATACATTCTTATTTGATTCAAAGATTTATTGAGCCAACTAGGGAGATACAAAGGTGATTAAAACATGGTCAAAGAGGTGAGGCAGATGCACAAGTAATAAAAAGCAAAGTGTAAGGTTCACTGAATCACAGCAGTCAAAAGAAAGTGCTTTAGGAGAGAGATCAAGAGATTGCTTCCAGCCTGGAAGGGGGCGTGGGTAGGTGGCAAATCAGGAAAGGGGATTGATATTAAAATAGAAGACTTCAGTCTGGATTGTTGATGATACTCAGTATGGACTATATTTCTCTCCTTTTCCTCTCTCCCCATCTTTGGGCTTAATTTACCAGTAGTGCCCAGGATTGTTCAATGTGCCTGCAATTAAACCAAGGAGATAGGACCATATTAAAATTAGGGGGAGGGGTACCTACAATATGTCATTTTAGCACTGTATGCAAGGGATAAAAATAGAGCAGTGACCAATATACCAAAGGCTAAAAGTTTTATAGTAGTACTAAAGCAAAATACATTCTGGTTTTAAAATGCTACTTTTCCAATTGATTCATAATTGCACAAGGAAAAGAAAACTACTGAAGCCATGCAGAACCTAGAGAGCACAGGAAAAAAATATGGGAAACGGGGTCAGTAACTTCCTCACCATACCATATTTATTCTCAATAACTGGGGTCTAAGAATATTACCCAAAGTTTCTCTCAAACGTGTTTCAAGGCGTCTAAACCAATTATTCCAGTATAGAGTTCTCTAGTAAGGGTAGCCCCCACCCCAAAACAAACAAGTAGGACAAAAGCTGAATCCTCCTCTCACATATCCAATACTTAAAAGGAGGATTAATGTAAACCTATTAGTCACTCAAAAATTCAAGATATTACCAAACGTATTGACTGGTGACACCTTGGTGCACAAGGCAAACAGAAATGATTCAATTTGTTGGAAAATGTTTCTCACTAGAGTAAAATTTTTTTAAAAAAACACCAAGCAGCAAAAGACTATACTTTTCCAGCTGTTTGCAATTTTAGAAGACTCATACGCCCCCTGCTGGCTCTGTAGCATCTTACAACCAGGCAAGGGAAATGTTTTCATTGATCTCATTTTAACACCTAAGGTCAGAATATATCTTAACAGCTGTATTCCTTATAACTGAAAATAAAGCATATGTAACTTCAAATACGCAAAGAAGAATCAGCAGAGATTGTGAATTAACATAAGTAACTAGGAATCCATTTTTTAAAAAAATTTCACACCACAAAAGGGGTAGGATAAAAAATGAGGAGTCCTGGTTCTACCCAAATCCCAGAGAAGTTCAATTTGAGAGAGAAATAAACCAATCTAGTTTTTGAACAACAATTTTACTCACTTTTTCTATACTTGCTTGCATTTTTGCTTTAATGTCTTCTACAGAACTAGGTCCTTTTGGTGTTTTAGGAGTTTTTTCCTGTTTTTTGAAGGATTCTTGACCCTGGAAAAAAAAGGGCTAATTTCAACACTAAGAGTACACACAGCTCTTAAGATCTAACCTACCTGGATTTTCTCAATAAATTATTCTTAAAACCCTTCCTTGTAAAAACGATTATATACCAGTTAAGTTGCCATTATAAACGAATTCATGTCTGAACAATAATTTTTTGTTCTTAAATTATTCCTTAGAAAAGGAACAGGAAATAGTTTGAGCCTGCACTTACATTCAATACTAGGTCAGTTCTACACTTAAAGGGTATTTTTTTTTCTTGTAAAAAGGGTATTTTCAAAAATGAAACCAGAAGGTCCCTAATAGGTAAGAAAGTTAATGAAGCTTGAGGCCTGGGGCCCACAACCATAGCATTTAAATGATAATCTCCCGATATACAACCAGCATTGAGAAACTCTACACTATACGATAAATATATCTTTCAATAAGCAAATACCCATACATAACACAACTGTTTATATCACGATGACAATCTTTCTGTTAGCTCTCTCACCAACCTGAACATCAACCAATGTTAAGTGGTCAACAATCTGTGTGTAACTTATGGTTAACCCTCCCCATCTGTCGTTCCTTTGCATCCAGATTCAACCAATCATGAATATGCAGTACTATAGTATTTACCACTTGAAAAAACCCATGTATAAATGAACCCATACAGTTTAAACCTATGCTGTTCAAGGGTCAACCGTCTATGACACTGATTACCAACAAGCACATTTTAGCTCTTCAACACCAACTACAGGTATTCTCCAAAGGCCTACCAAATTTTAGACAGTAGATTCTTCCACTTCTATGGAAACTACCAACTTCAATGGAGTCTGTATTTGTGTGTTATGTTACCACTTACTTTTGATCTTGGTGTTGATGGTTTTGAGTCTTTTCCATTCTGGTTTGATTTTTGTGCGTTTTTGGCTGGAGTATCTCGTATAGACTGCAATTAGAAATTAATCTTATTCAATGACCCTCTCTACGTAACAGATGTATCAGCGCAAATAAAACTGCCCCAAACTATGTAAAAGCAGCCAGGTTAAGATGAAAACAATCATTCTGACAAAAGCTTGCAAAAGGGCTAACGAACAGGGAGAAGCCCACATGGAGAAAGAAAACAGATTATTCCCCACTATTAGGCAAGTTTCCAGGACAGCACTACTCAGGACCAATTTTAATTATGAGATCATCGTTTCCTAAGCCAACTTTTGATAAGTACAAAACAAGTCAACAGCACTAAAAAATGCCCATTATTTTTTGTTATTAGCTATTTCTGACTATTTTAAAGTACTGCATCTTACTTTCTTTACTGGAGCTTTTTCTTCAGCTTCCTCATCATCAAAATCATCATCATCATCACTACAAAAGAAATAAGTCCTTATTACTGATTCAATGCACTCAACAAATCTAGAAAAAGTGAAGAAACCTACAAGTTTAGTCAATTAAAGCATGAATAACTTTCACAATTTTGGGGGTTGACAGAAGAATCGAAAGCATGATCTTTAAGAGATATCTGCACATTCATCTTCATTGCAGCATTATTCACCATTACCAAGAGGTAGAAACAACCCAAATGTGTTCATCAATAGTTAAATAAGGAAAATGCCATACATATACACATCAGGGAATACCCAGTCTTTAGGGAAATCCTGTCAAATGCAGCACACAGATGAAGCTTAAGGACATTATGCTAAGAGAAAGAAGACAATCTAGACCGTCACAAAAAGACAAATCCAGTATGATTCCTCTTATATCAAGTATCTAAAACAATCAGTCTTTACAGAAACTAAAAGATTGGTGGTTGTCAGCAGCTGGGGAGAGGTGCAAATGGGGGCTTTTTCTTCAATAGTTATGGTTTTCAGTATTACTAACTGAATCTGAGCTCTAACAATAGAACATAATTAACACTACTAAACTGAACATTTAAATAGTTCAGATGGTAAATGTGTAATTTTTTAATAACTAAAAAGATTAATTTTTTAAATAATAAAAATGGGGTTACTGAAAGAAATTTAAAAGATAAACATATCCCACATTCATGGGCCAGTATATATTAGGGTGGCAACTCTCCAAATTAATCTACAGATTTAATCCAATCCCTAAAAGAACCCTAGCTGGTTTCTCCATAGAAACTGATCCTAAAATTCATTGAAATTCAAGGAACCCAAAGTAGCCAAAAGCAATCCTGAAAAAGAACAAAGTTGAAGCATTCCAATTAAGTGACTTCAAACTGAAATCTATAAAAACTGCAAAGCAAAAGAAATTAGAATAGTGATCATACACCAGTAGAATGGAAATGCAAAGTCTAGACATAAATCCGTATTTATGGTAACTATTTTCAACAAAAGGACGAAGACTATAAGGTAGGAAAAGAAGTCTTTCACAAAAGCGGACTGGATATTCACAATCAAAAAAATGAAGTTGATACTGCTTCACATAGCAAAGACTAATCACAAACAGCATTTTATTGCAGTGTCTGTAACTTCACCATAGCCTGATCTAGTTCAAAAAACACATCAAATCTCGTTTACAACCAAACTTAAAATTCTCCAAGAAAATCCTATTCTCTTTTAGAAACTTTTCTTCTAAGGACCATATAACCACAGACCAAAATCTTTCGTGGGGGGGAAAGAAAATCAAGGGAAAACTTACAAAATACAGCTGGAGCTATTCAGATTCTTTCTGCTCAATCCATTTTATTACAAACTCTTCAGCATAAGATACACCAGACTTGTTAACTTGTTAGCACATTTAGTAATTTTTCTACTAAATCTCCCTCAAAAATAAAAAGCACCTAGTCAAAACGTTTTGGGAAATGCTGCATACTCCATCCTTTAATTCAGCTCATTTAACAAAAACACAACCATTGACCATTCACCTAACATTTAATAAAAATTACTTAATTCCACAAGATAATTTTGGTAAATAATTTTCATGCAACTCCGCCCCATACAACTATGTCAGGTTTCTAAGGGCATACTACTTACTCGTCATCATCATCGTCATCGTCATCATCATCTTCATCTTCATCAGCAGCAAGTTTTACTTTTTCTTATTAAAAAAAAAATGAACACACATTGATAAGCAAGTGCTAATCCAAACTACCAAACTAAAGCCAAGAGTAAGTTATGGGTATTAAATTACATCTATACCTGTGGAACCTTGCTACCACTTCCAGGGGCAGAACGCTTTCCAGATATACTTAGGAGTTTCACATCCTCCTCTTCTTCATCTTCTGACTCTGCATCTTCCTCCACAGCTAAAATAAAATCCTTTATCAGCCAAAACTAAAACTCAACCAATAGCAAGAACTCAGAAGAAAAGGGCATTGTTAACATACAGTGATGAGCACTTAAAAACTGAGATTCTATTAGAATCAGAAAATAGAAAACAAAAATTTTTAAGAAGAATTTTGGGAGCTAATACTAGGTTTTACATGCAAAACACCCAGCTTTTTTAGTTATAATTTACTAGATGCCCATTTGAATCTATTACAGACAGTTGTACTAGAACTAAGCATACTTTATAAAGTACAAACTGGGAACAGAGCAACTGCATGAAGAATAAACAGCATAACACATAAAAGTAACATACCTACTAAGTGCTGTCCACTAATATGCACAGGCCCTGAACCACACTTCAACCGTAAGACCACAGGTGGTGTTATTTCAAAGCCCCCAAGAGAAACCTGAAAAAAAAAAAAGAAAAAAACTTTTAAATCACTAAATATTGTGAAGAAAATAAAAGGTTACGTTTGGTAAAAAACCTGTTCATAATTTTAAAATGTCTCTGAACAAGAAAACTCATCAGCCAATGAACTAGTGAACTTGTTTTTCCACCTCTGATAAACAAGCAGCTACCACCATGTTCAGGAGTTTATCAGTCAATCCATAGTGACAGAAGATGCAACAAGTGACTACTAGAAAAACCAAACCAAATTTTATTTCCTTGGTGTAATCTAAATGACACCCACCTTAATTAACAATTAACAAAATTAGACTTTGACATAAAATCCAAAGTATGAAAGTGTCCTTACTGTTGGCTGTACAGACATTTTCAAAGTCGCCAGTGTTACTTTAATTGGACTGCCTTCGTAATTCATTGCCTCTGCTTCAACAATGTGCAATTCATCCTTTGCACCAGCCCCTAAACTGACCTGTGAATAGAAAAACAGTAATTCAACTTGAGCTTCCACTATTTTACAATGCCCCCCAATTCCGCTGTTTTTTAAAAAGCAGGACAGCTATAAACCTTTCATTATTACCACTGATAAAAAACTGATTTAAGCACAATGTTGTCTTCAAGTTTTATGTGACTGCGACAATTCCTCACATTCAGCAAATTTGAATAAAAATACATTTGATGACATAAATATTTATGTCATCACCTATTCATAGTATAAATTACCTAACATTTATTGGCCACCTACAGGCTGAGTAGTAGGATAAAGCCTAGTGTCTGTGGGGAACAAGTAGATTTTTATTTATCACTACCCTCAAGGGCTTTATAACTGAAGGAAAGTACATAAAAAAAGAAAGCTGAACATAGTGTGACTGGACTTTCATTACAATTACCAAATGAGTGGTAAAGATGCCAAGCTTTGTATCACATACATAAAGAAAATTAAGTATATACAATATTCAGTTATAAAAATACTATTATAAAATAAATACTAGGCCATACAAATAGGAACTAAGAAGTTCAAAACAAGAGATATAGTTTATTTTGAAAAGTTTTAAGTACCGTTCTTAAAGATAATTGGTGCTCATTTTCATCATTATCCACCTTAAAGTGATAATCTTTGTCGGCTTTTAGTTCACAACCTGTAAATGAAGAAAAAAATACAACTATAATACAGAGAAAATAACACAAAACTTCAGTGCTGGTAACCAAAAAGTTAACTTCTGAACTAGTTTTCACTATTCTACCAAAAGGCAAGGCAAAAGTACCTCTCTGGATTTCTTAAACACAGAAGTTCATAAACACCAAATAATATCCATACAGAGCTTTATAAATTCCACTTTCCCAATGTACTATTTTATCCTCAACTACACTACTATTCTCAGGTAGAAATAGGCTCAAATACTTAGTAAAACGAACTGAAACCAAACCTAACCTACAATGTTGATAGAATCCCAGTATTACCTACCAAAACTCCCACCAAAAGTAAACATCTACATCAACAGCTTATATCTACAACAGAAAAACTACAAACGTCAAAAAACAAAAACACGTTACAGAGGTCAACATTCCATCTTTGAAGTAAAAGAAATGATATATATTAAATTCTGTTCGGAAATTGTTTTAAGGCAGGAACAGAGATAGCCTAGGAATATTCCCAATACAAAGAGTTACCAGAAATTATCATATAAATTCATCAGAAACTCCAATTTTTCAAAACGGCTAATAATAAGAAAAGCCTAGTGTATACTGCATGTTACTACCATTCACAACAGGCAAATTGTTTTAAATACCATCAGAATTAAACTTAACTTAATCCCACTTAATTGCCATCTGATAGTTACTACAATAGATGCTCAAATGTTACTGCTCAATTAACTAATCTCAGTATGGTATATAAAGAAAAAATTGGGTGCAGGGCTTGCACTTAATTCAAAGCTTATCTGGCACAAAGAAATGGCTTCAAAAATTAAGTACAGTGAGACTGAGAAACCAACGCAGGCCTCTTAGCATGGTGCCTGAGGGGGAAACCCCAAAACCTCTCTCTATACAACGACACGTTTAACAGAAGGCTGCCTCCGCAGGTCTCCCTCCCCGACAAAATCACTTATTGTGGAGCCAAGGGTGATGGGGTTAGGTCTAATTTCTCCCTACAAGTGCAACCTTCGTTAAGTCACTTTCCCTTGAGCATCAGTATCGTCATCTGCAAAGTGGGAGCGACGATTAAAAAAAAGACTCTAAACGAGAACTACCGGCAGAGATGGTTAGCACTGAACAAAGACCTCCAGCATCCTGGCGCTGCCTACCAACTCTCCTAACATTTCCCGCCCAACAGCCTCAATTAAGCCCCAGGACCCCCAGGCTCGGGGGTGACAAGACACCAGTGAGCCCCGGATGTAGCGCCCACACCCCCTCCTTCCCCCAACCACGTGGCAACCACGTGCTCCCAGCGGTTGCGGCCTCCTCACGCCGGGCCGCGCCTCCCCTCCCCCCGTAACCCGCCGAGGCACTGAAGCCGAGTCTCGGCCCGAGAGCGCCCGACCCTGAGGCCTGAGGGCCGCAGGACAACGCCAGGCGCTATCCATACTCTCCTCCAGAAAGGAGGCCCAAGCTTCATATCTCGAACCCACACAACCTCATGGATCACCAACGCGGAACCCGGCATCAGACACCGGCCCGGAATCAGAAGCCTACCGACTCACACACCTCAGAAAATAATTGTGCCTGGAATTCTACCGTGTGCCTCAGGCAACGCCGAACCCTCAGTCGGCCGGTTCCACGTTACCTCAGGCCCTGGGCCTCCGACCGCTCACGCCCCAGGCTTCAAGCCGCCCCTCCTCCCCGCCGGCTCCCCATCCTTGGATTTCAAGACGCTGGCAGCTCGCTTCCCACTCCCTCGAGCCACCTGTCTGCTTAGCTTTCTCCACCAGCCCAAGCCTCGGTGAGACCCCCCCACCACCACCTCAAAACCAACAGGCCCTGCTCGGCCTCCTCCACCCCCTAGCAGTTACCGAAAAGGTAGTTCTGAGGCCTCAGGGGGCTCATGTCCATGTCCATCGAATCTTCCATGAGTTGGTGGCACGCACTTAGGTGGGAGAGAAGACGGACGGAGATAAACCACCACTGTTCCGGAGAACAGCCGCGCAGGACGGAATCACACCAGGGAAAGGACGCGGGCTCCCTGCGCACATATATAGCACCGTGGAGATCTCGCGAGAACTCCTCAAGTCCCGTCTCCGCGCGCGTGCTCGGGAGCCCCCCTCCCCTCCCGGTCGCCCTCCCGCGCAAGCGCTCTTCAACCTCACTCCTTTCTACTTCGCCCCCCACCCCCTCCAGGTACTTCGTGGGTGCCCACCGAGCACGCGCACTCGTACCTTAGCCCCACCCACCCGCCGCCGCCGCCGTGCGCACGCGTGCTGCCCCAGGGTAGCGCGCGTTCCTCCCCCTTCCAAGCCGTCCACGTCTTCTCCCGCTTTGGCGTCCGGGCCTCGCGCCAGGAGCCTGCTCAGCCCACCCTGCAAAATGGCGACGGTAACTCTTAGCTTTTTAGCTGAGGAGGGCGAGCCGATTGCTAAGTGAGCCAGAGAGCAGCTCTGTTCACCTTTCTCCATCCTCTGCCTCGCGGACCTCGAAACAAGCATGACCACTTCAGGTTTTCTGACTTGCCTGAAGGCCTGGGCGCAGAGTTCATTATTTTCCCAAAGTTAAAGCTTCAGGAGCCAGAGTGGACTAGGGATTTCCGTTTGTTGAGGAGAAAAGATGTAGCTGCTAGCCAGACTTATTCAGCTGTGTTTTTATAGCTCTGTCCTTTCTTAAGAAACATCTCCGAAGTTGAAATCCTTCATTATGTCATTTTGGGGCCAAAACGGGACTGAATGGGCCTCTTCCATATAAGCAGGGCATGAACCAAACCTGGGTGATTTCTCTCAGGTTTTAAAAGAGCTGTGTATCCACACTCTGTCGCCACATAACGTCCTGTGAGGCAGATGTGACTATTCCCACTTTGCAGACAAGGAGACGGTCTGAGAGAAAGTAAGGTGCCCAAACAGATGAAGTGATTTTAGGCAGGGTTCTCTAGCTCCAAGTCTAAATCTTACTAACATGCATGTAAAAGGGCTCGGAGATTTATGTGAGGGTCCAGTGTCTGAGGCACTGCAGTTCTTAATCTGTAACATTCCTAAGGCTGTTCTGACCTGTAAAGAACGCATATAACTTGTAAGAAATGTATAAACCTTACTTAATACTCTGGGAGTGAGCCCGGAAATGAGCATCTTAAACAAGCTACACTTTAACTGAAGACCCCTCTCTCCCCGCCCCACCGCCAACTGCAGCTTCTGGGAACTCGTGCTGAGGATCCCCCTAGTTATCTTTTTTACATCAACAAGTCAAAGTTAAGAAGTACTGTAAAGAACAAAAATAGTGGCAGCGATGCCATACCCACTTTTCTCCAAAAACAGTCTATTTGGGAAGATAAACTGTGATTCACATGAACCAATTATTGCTTAATAGAATTAAAATTCTAAATTTGGAGAAATCAATGAGAACAATTTATGAATGGTCTTAGCTGTTCCCCACCTTCTCCCTGCCCCCAACCGAAGAGTCTTCACTAGCCTGATTCTTGGATCTTTCAAAATGGAGAGTGTGCCCAATTACTAGAGAAGAAAACTGAGCCTTGGAGGGATATCTGTGTAATGGAACTGAGAAAGGCTGATAAAAGGAAGGAGAGGACTATGGCTGAGGAGGATTTAGGGATTTAGAATGGCAAAAGGTTCAAGAGAGAAGCTATAGGATAGTGGAGAAAGGATTAATGTTCTTTGAGCTCATGCAAATAAAAGTTGTAACTACTCTGTAATTTCTGGACAATGCAGCTCTGTACAGAGCCTGTACCATTTGGAAGCCATAGCTCATGTTATGTAAATACATTTGCTGTTTTAGTATTTTATGTACCTAGTCCAGATATGATCTCATGGAATTAAGTGGTTAAAAGGAAAAAAAAGACTTCTTACATTTTTCAGATACACAAATGTAATGAATACACATTATCTTTAAAATAAATTAATAGTATTTAGGCCTATACAAGTGAAAAAGTAAAATGCCCCTCTTTCCATATCCCCATTCCTACTCCCTAAGGTTAATCACTGTTAATAGTTGTGTGATTATCCTTCCAGGCTATACATACATATATGTGGAATGGGGACAGATCATAGAGTTGGGATTTTTTTGGTATTTTTTTTTAATGTATGTGATTCATATATTGTTCAACTTGCTTTTTATATTCAAAAATATATCTTGGACATTTGTCCAAACTAGTACCTAATATGGATATGTTATAATTTAACTATTCATTTCTCCATCGATAAGTGCAAAAATCATCTTCATAACTTTACTGTAAGATATAATGCTTTAGTAAGTGTTTTGGACTGAATATTTGTGTTCCCCCCCCCAATTCATATGTGTTCCTCCAAAACCTAAACCTCAGTGTGATTGTTTGGAGATAGAACTTGTGAAAAGGTGATAAAGGTTAAATGAGGTCTTAAGGATGGGCCCTAATCTGATAGGATTGGTACCCTTATAAGAAGAGCAAGGGACACCAAAGCTTTCTCTCTCTCCTCTTTGTAAGAACATGGGACGAAGGCAGCCATCTGCAAGCCAGAAAAAAGCTCTCACCAGGAGTTGAATTGGCTCGCACTTTCATCTTAGATTTCCCAGCCTCCAAAACTGGGAAATTTCTGTTGTTTAAGCCACCCAGTTTGTGATATGTTGTTATGGCAACCCAAGCAGACTGCTATAGTAAGTATCTTTGTACATATCCTTATCGTTCTGTGATATCTAATGTATAGAGGCCCATTGCATTCTTTTTAAGAGTTGCATAATATTCCACAGGATGAAATATACACTGTTTTTAAAATTCCAGGTTTTATTTATCTCTTCATGTGTTAACACATTCTGTAATGGAAATTTTCAAACATGCACAAAAATAGAAAGACTATTTTGATGAACACTCACATACCCATCACCCAGCTTCAACAGTTAGTACGTTGCTACAGCCAATCTTATTTTATATATACCCTCTTACTACCATTTGCTCTCCACCTCTGCTGGATTCTTTTAAAGTAAATCCCACATATGTATATTTTCATCTGTCTATACTTCAGTATGAATCTTTGAGAGATAATTTTGTAAAGCTTAAACATATCATTATGATACATATCAAAATTTTAAATAATTCCTAATATCATGAATTATCCAGTTCAGATTTCCCCAATTATCTCTTACCTTTGGTTTGCTTAATTAAGGATCCAAACAAGGTCTACACGTTATACACTGAGATGTGTTACCATTTACCCCATTCCTATTCCTTTACTCCCTGTTTTTTCTGTAAATTAGTAGATCTGCAGCTGCTCTGTCAAATGTAGTTGCCACTAACTACATGTGGCTACTTAAATTTCAAATAATTAATATTAACTAAAATTTAAAAGTCAGTTCCTCAGTCTCATTAGTTAAGTGCTCAACACCCACGTGGCTATTGACTAATGGCTATAGTATTGGATATAGTATTAGGTAGCACGCAATAACATTTCCATCATTGCAGAAAGTTCTGTTGTCTGCAGCCATGATGTAGAGTCTTCACCAGGATGTGTTCACTTTCTTGGCAAGAATACTTCATAGGAGGCTTGAATGTTTCCTGTTGTACATGAACACAGATTGTCTGATTGTTTCTCTTTTTGTGATGTTAAGTTCAGGTATCGTCAGCCTGATTCTTCCTTTATAAAGTCCTCCATTCACCTAAGAGTTTTAACTGACCCTCAACATTGATTTTTGCTGCTGTCAGACTGGACGTTTGGTGGTGACACTACCGCATCAGCCTTAGTGAGAGCAAGCCTATGCTATTGGTATCCATCTGTGCCACCATGATTTCTCCATTTATGAGCCACTATGTGAGCACTGGAGTAGGGGCAGAAGCTGGCTGACATCTCCTGAGTGGGTCATCTTGTTCATAGGTTGTTTAGTTCTTCTTTTGCAGTGGATGCTCTCTGGTGAGCATCATTGTATGATTCAAAGATCTGGGAAGGGGTGGGGTATAGCTCAGTGGTAGAGCACACGCTTAGCATACATGAGGTCCTAGGTTAAATCCCCAGTACCTCCATTAAAAAATAAATAAATAAACCTAATTACCCACCCACCCCCCAAAAACAGAAATGACATATATCTGCACATTTAGTATCTACTCCATAGGTCTATCAAGTGCCTGTTCCCCTTATCAGACCTCCTTATCTATGATCTTTCGATCCCATTTCTTCTAGTCCCTGGCCAACTCGCCATTTGTCACTGCCCAGGATTCTGTCTATTTCTTTATGTGAGACCACTTTGCTGTCCATGCAAAGTGAATGACTAAGGGCACCATCCAAAGGTCTGACCATTGGGAGGATTAATCCTCCCCATTGTCTTTTAGGGCCACCTCAGAGTGGCCCATCCCGTCCATTCCCAGCTTGCACTAACATGTTCCGTCTATGAATCAGCTCAGGGTTTCTCTTTTAATCAGCTGGTTTTAAGGAACCTACCATGAGGCCATAGGTATAAGCATTTGTGCAATGGAAGTAGATAATGTAGAGTCTGGGCTACCTGTTCATACAGCTTGCTTATGCCCTTTGGAGCTGCTTCAGCTCAACCCTGAGTATATTACTTCCATTGTATAGTGGAGTGTTGCTGGGTCTCCCCAGCCTTATGATTTTGTGCATCTGACAGTGACTTGGCCCCATGGTTGGATACTCAGTCTTTACCAGGACACAATAACACTTCAGAAGTGGTTCTCTACTGCAGACATCATGCCCTTGCTCCAGCACTCTAGGGGTCTGCATCATGGTTTACCCATAGGGCTTGACAGAAACTTCTCATTGGTGTCTTTCTCTACCACAGATGGTACTCCAGACTTACTACCCATTAAGTTAATTTCACCCACCTTGCCTTTGGTAGCACCTCCTGGCCCCAGATAACAGCCGATACTGAGCTTCTCAGTGATGAAAATTGCTCCTTCAGTAAGACATTCACTATCACTTAATGAAAGGAAGAACCTCTGGGCTCTCTTTCCCCTGATCATCGGGTGAATTCTTGGATCTTATATAATGAGTTTTGTAATCTCTTCCTCAGCACTTCCCAACATCCTTCTAGCACATCTACCTTTAATTCTGTACA